ATTATAACACGAATCACTAATTATTCACTGAACCAAAGGCCTGAAGCATACTTTTTCTTTTAGATAAATTGAAAATTCGTAAGATCAAGATTTACGGTTCAGACTTAACTTGAGATAAATGTAACGGATCTACTATGTAGCATGCTCCAAAGTTAAAATTTTGAGACAAATTTGGGAAAAACGAGAATGATCATATGCTTTTTATTGTATCCCTAATTAGTAAATACAAAGGCAGTTTCCAGGGTCATTTTCGTAAGAACTTCTTCAGTTTGGCATTACAGTGAATTTCGGATTTGAGTCTGTAAGTATGTTTTAAGGGGTGTTGTTCTTGGGAAAATGCTAATTACTCGAATTACTTTCAACTGACCGGCAGTAAAATGTTGAAGGGACTTGATTTTAATTCTGAAGTAGTAAAAAATACAACTGTCCTTTTATTGTGCGTTGCAATCTTTGGTCAGCATCCATCTACGGAGCCTAATCATGGAAGTGCGAAAATGACGGTGAACCAGAGAACATAAATTCATTTTGTAGATAGTGCGTCTCAATTAGTGGTTCTTTTTTCCCAAGGAGTTTTCTGGAAATTTTCAAAAACTAGCCATTGTTAGACCTTAAAAGTGGGCGACTGCTCTGGCAGTTGATTCAGATCTTGAACAACAAAGAAGCTTCGTTCTCTATTTGAGGCAAAAAGCTTCCTTGAGAGTGGGATTCATATTTTGGTGGATCCTAGAATTCATAATATTCTGATTTTTTAACCGCTGTATTTTCTTGGACATGAGACTAGGTTACTTTTTCTCTGATTTTTTAACTTATACGATTTTCTGGGTACAGTGAATTGACTGGGAAAAAATTCCTGCAATCGTAATTTTCTGGGCACGGAAATGGTTGAAAAAATCCTTTCAGCTGCGGTTTCTTGGACATCGAATCAGGTTGTTGTGAATACTGGACTCTCCCAGAATTTGACATTTATAAGTCCGGTTAATGCACACTTGCAAATGTTGCATTTTTGCAACTTTGGTGTAATAACAAGATATTTTTGAATTCAGTGATCTTATTCTGATTAGCTGCCATCAATTGCATCACCCTCACAACTTTTCTCGTGTGTGTTTTTGACTAATATTTTTTCTCTCAAATT